TGTTTCTCGAGTAGACTTCTTGGAGAAGTTTACTTACACGAATTTTTTTCTACATATATAAGGAGAGTTTAACCTAATTGTATTAACAATAAAGTCTCCCTCTATCTAAAAAATGACTCTCTCTCTCTCTTCTCTCTTCTCTCTTCTCTCTTCTCTCTTCTCTCTGGCCATGAATTTCTTCTCCTTCCTCTCTTGCTATCAATATCCTCTCCATCCTTTCTATCTTGCATTCAACCTCCTCTCACTTGCAGGTTATGGTAGTGGTAAGCAAATCTGAGATTTTGTGTTCCTTTTTTTGTTTGCTTTGTGTTCATATTGCAAATCTGAACTTATTATTATAGATTTAAGATTATTTTTGTAGATCTAAGTTTATTTTTGTAGATCTGAGTTTATTGCTGTATAAATTTTGTAGATTTTGTTAATTTTTTGTTATTATTGCAGAGCTAAATTTTGTTGATTTTTGTACATATCTGAATGTTATAAATATAGTAGATTATTATTATAGATCTGAGCTTATTAGTTTAGATTTGAGCTTATTGTTGTAGATCTAAGTTTATATTTGTAGATCTGAGTTTATTGTTGTATAAATTTTATAGATTTTGTTCTAGATCTAAATTTTTTGTTATTATTGCAGAGCTGAATTTTGTTGATTTTTTTACAGATCTGAATGTAGACTTCTCGAGTAGACTTCTCGATCTCGAGCAGACTTCCCAAGCAGATTCAGTTGCATACATAATTTTCAGAGATTTTAGTTTACTAGTAATTTCTTATGCCAGTTTTAAGATTTATAATTAGTGATTCTTAAATGTTTATTTGTTTAGAGGGTTATTTTCTATGTAATGTTGAATTGCATTGAATATTTTGTATCAAATTCCTAAATTATCTATGTTTATCTATTCTACAAAATAGACTTTTTCTGCCTTGAGTAGGCTTCTTAAAGACATTAATTTTACATAACTTATAAGTGATTCAGAGGGACATTTATCCCATTTATATCATATAACTTGTCAACCGAGTAGACTTCTCTTGTCTCGAGTAGACTTCTCCTGTCTCGAGTAGACTTCTAAAAGACATTAATTTTATATAACTTAAAAGTGATTCAGAGGGACATTTCTCTCATTTATATCATATAACTTGTCAACCGAATAGACTTCTCTTGTCTCGAGTAGACTTCTCATTGTCTCGAGTAGACTTCTTAAAAACATTAATTTTACATAACTTAAAGGTGACAACATTCGCCCTCCTTTGCTATTCGCCCTCCTTTGCCAACATTCACCAAGAAGCTCACCATGTGGGCAACCATCTTTTAAGAACAACATTCGCCCTCCTTTGCTATTATCCACCTCGAACTGCCACACTGATTCACTCTTAACCCATTCTCCAGAAACAGCGGGTATGTGAGCCATTCTTTGTGAAAAAAGAACAAAATCCAAACCACATTAGACATCAAAATTGCATAAGTAGACTTCTCTAAAAGTCGGATGAAGTCTACATAGTATACTTCTAGAGTAGACTAAGAAGTCTACTCTTAATACGATAAGTATCATATAAAACATGAAAACTCATTCGACTATACCTATAAAATATAAACATGCAAAACTTATACATAAGCAAGAAAACTGAATAACAGAAGCTTAGGATCACGAAAATCTTAAAAAATCGTTATATATTGTATAAAAATAATTTTTTTTTTAAAAACAAGAAAAGTAGACTTCTCGGATAAAAGTAGACTTCTTGCAGGTTAGTTTTGCAATTGCCAAAATATTAGTAGACTTCTCTATGAAAAGTAGACTTCTCCGAGAAGTCTACTTTCGTAAGTAGACTTCTCGCAGATCATTTTTGCAATTGTAAAATATTTGACTTTTTGGTCAATCGCAAAAATGACTTGCGAGAAGTCTACTTACGAAAGTAGACTTCTCGGAGAAGTCTACTTTTCATAGAGAAGTCTACTTTACAAAGTCAAAGGTTGGTCAATTGCAAAAATGACCTGCTTCTAAAGAAGTCTACTCGAGAAGTCTACTCCATTTTTTTGTTATCAAAGGAAATAGAGTAGACTTCATTCGGACCAAAAGAAGTCTACTTTTTCATGCGGTCAATTGCAAAACTAACACAGACGTTGACTAGTAGACTTCATTCGGACCGAGAGAAGTCTACTTTCAGAGCATTTTCGTAACTAAGTGAGGAAGATGAAGATTAGTTGGTCATTTGGATTTCCGAAAATAAAAGAAATTAATTAAAAACCATGGAAATTTCGTGAATAACTGAAACTATGAAGGATTGTTTGGACACAAAATGGTAAATATTGGAAAAGGTGATTTTTGTGGGTTAGATTTGCAATTCAAATCAAATTTTAGGTCATTTTTGCAATATTGGGGTAATTTAAGCAAATTGTGTCTACAAAATTAGAGGTGGAAAAAAAGACACAAGATTTAAAAAATATCATTTATTTCTATTTGTTCTAATTTTTTATTCAATTAACTGACTTGGCTGAATTAGATAATTGACAAATTGGGTGTTAATTACGTATTACTAACTAAGTGTGCTGTTTGCGCTTTACAAGAGTAAAATAATTCACAATTAATTACATAAAATACATAATAATAATAAATGTATCAAATTAAAATCAAATAGAGATTGAATTCTCTGATTATTTTAAATTTATTTAAATAATGTAATTCTTTTTTTTTCTTTTTTTTATCAACATAGACATTTTATAAATCACTTAACCTCCAACAATGAAGGAACTGTTAACAAAACACGATAATAGTGCCAAGCTGGCTAATAGAACCGATGCAACAAAGGTAATTCGGAGAACTAAACGCAATATATGCAGACATAACACTTAAACCATCAAAGGTATTGAGAAGTCCTCTAAACTCAACACCAATAATGCTAAAAAATGAGATGATGCAAAGTGAAATAGAGAGCATAGCTAGAAGATAAATGAAAAGGAATTCGTTAAAATATGTTCCCCACACGAGCGAGAAAGTGAGGACATCAGAGTCCGGAAATATTTGTAGCAAGATGAAACCTGCGAATCCTACATACTTCAGCGCCAACAGCCCAGTAAAGGCTTCTTGAAACAGTAGCATTACATCCTTGAGCGCCAACCCAAGGGTAAATACTTCTTCTTGAAACAGCAGCAACAGAGATGCTTGGGAGTCTTCATTGGGCTTAGACCGAAACATAGTGAGATCACAAAAGTCGTCAACAACAGGACATCCAAAGGATACAGTTTTTTTCTCGGTATGGCCAACACTCTTGCATATCTCTTTCTCTGGTAAACCTGAAACAACAGGTAACAATGCAACAGACCCAATAGTTCGAAATGAACACATAAGAAATTTTAAAATAACATCCTCATCCTGAGGTAAAAGATGGCTTAAAGAAAGCCTAAATTCCTTATAATGAGGTAACATGAGCCTCATACTGAGGTAATTGAAGCCTAAGCGAAGGCAAAATCCAATCAATAGCAATTTTTTTCCCAGGAGTCGCAGAGACAAAACCTTTTGAAGGAGAGGATCGCACATAAAAATGCCATGTCGCCAACTGAGGACTGGAGCAGATCTGGGCGCTGCACACAATAGTAAGGAAACACGCAAGAGTAGAGAGACTGAATCCAGAGGAAACGAAGACACCAGCGGCTGAGCCAGAGGTTATCAAACCAGAAACAGGAGGAGAAATTGCAGCGGCGGGTATCGAGGACAGGCGGGTCAGGTGGGTCGGGAGGCTCCGGAAGATCGGGAGGAGAGGAAATCTCGAGCAGATCTGGAGGAAACTTCACCATCGACGGATCTGGAGAAAACCTAGGAAATGACGGAAGAGCAAACACAGAACAAACAGCCATGGGAGAAAGGAAGATGAGGGAGGAAGAGGAAGATTCTCGTTGGTGGGCGAGAGGCCATACCGACGGCGGCGGCCAAAGACAAAAACCCCAGTTTTTCGGATGATTATTGTTCTAACTTTATATTGTTATTTTAATTTTTTATTAATATAATATTTTTAATTTTTTAATTTTTCTTGTTTTTTTGTAAATTTGTCAAACAATTGCATATTTTATTTTATACAGTTTGGCGATAATTAAATCGTATATGCCATGTGTGAGCAAAAACATATTAAAAACCCTATAGCATTTGATCAAAAACAAATATATACAATACTATATAATATTATCTTGTATTTGTTTTGATAGATTTAATATTTGCAACTGTAACACACTTTCCAACTTTCACAAACCAAATTTGTATATCCAATATATAAAATGGTTGAATTTAAATACTCTAAAGAGACACACTTTTAAATCAATACAAATCAATAACTTAGTAAATTTAACAATCTATTTTAATGTCTTTCTAGAATTGTTTTTTAGAAAAAGAACTCATCCATTCTTCTACTTTATCGTTTATATATTTTGATTTTCTTCTTCTTCCTCCTTATTTTTTTTTTCTAATTTTGTCATTTTTTTCTTCTTTTTACTTTTTCCTCATCTGCGTATCATTCTTTTAAGTTATATTTTGTATATGTCTTCATTCTTGTTTTTTTTCAACTTCCTCTTTATCGGTTTCATCTTCTTCTTTATGTTCTTCCAATTTAAAATGGCCAGTTACATTTGACAGTTCATATTATTTATCATGTTTATCTGGTCTATTTTTTTAATTATAAAATTTAAATATATTTACCAAATGGAATGTTCCTTTACATAAGCTTGGCGTAGCTAAAAGGTAATCAAAAACAAAGCAGACTATAAGACTAGTGTTAGGAGTCGAGTCATTCATTGCTGAACCAGGAGGAGAGAAGGCTAAAATCATTTTTCCTGCTTGACACAAGGAGAGCATCTCGAATGCAGTGGTCGATTTGGCGGAAACAGAGATCCGGAGTAGCTGAAACACTTTCATGAAGTCTAGTGTTTCTCTCCTTCCACAAGAAAAAGATTGTCGCATGGACTGCCAGCTGTTTGACGAGCTTAGGCATGTGGCTAGAGGGACCAATCATCTAATCTATCAACTCTCTCCAACTTGCGAAGAAGAGTCTGGGTTGGCTAAGGCGCTGAAGAACGATGCTCCAAACCTGCAGGCTGAAATCACAATGAAGGAAGAGGTGCTCCTCTGTTTCTTCCTCGAGACTACACAAACAGCAGAGGGGGGGGGGGATGTAGAGATTCCCCAATTGATAAGCTTACGACTCAGAGGAAGCTTGTCCTTAGTAGCAACTCAAAAGGTGAAGGCATGCTTGGGGATACCGCCTTTGAACCAAACAGCTTTAAACCATGGTTTGATAGGCTATGAGGGTCTGATGTCCTCCCAAGTAAGAGAAACAGAGAACAAAGGCCTCGCAGCAGCTCCATTTTTCCAGAGATACTGATCAGCACCATTGGAATCATTCGGGGGCTCGACAGCAAAGAGAACATCTCTCAGCTACCGAATCTGAAGAGCATGTGCGCGGTGGATCAAAACGGACCACCTACCAGACCTGCATGCTTGGGAAACTGTGCTATTAAGAGCTTCCCGTCATTTACCTTAACCTTTTGCAGGTTAGAAACCTCTTTGCGAGAGGCCTAAGACCGAGAAGAAAATTCCAAATCCATGAGGAGTTCGCATTAGCCTTTTCCATCCAGAAGTTAGTGCGCTTGAGACGATGTTCCTTGTTCCATGTCACCCATAAGGAGCCACTCGAAGAGAACAGAAGCCATATGAGCTTAAGATTTAGCACCTTATTCCATATATAGAAATTTCTTAACACAAGCTCTCCTTCATTCTTTGGGAGGCAGACCTGTTGCCAAGAAACCTTTACACCAAAGTGCTTACTGATGTCACCTGACCACAGAAAATTATTACATAGTGATTCCAGCTTTTTCAGACAGCCCTTCGGAAGAGAAAAAGCTGCAAGCTAAAAGTTGATAGTGCTATAGATCACCGACAAAATAATCTGAAGCCGGCCTGCGAAAGACAGGGTTTTAACCATCCAAGAACTGAATCTCCCGTTTATTTCCTTAATGAGTGGAGAATATTCAGATTTTGCAACTTGCAATGCAGAAGGGGAAGTCGGAGGTACCATATAGGGAGATAACCGAGATGAAAACCAAGAAAAAAGTAGATTCTGAAGTTTCCATCTGGTTCAGACCCACCAGAAATAGCGCTGATTTCTCTTTGTTCAATACCAACCCCGAGATAGAGGAGAACTCGTCCAGCGTTTGCACAATAGCGTGCAGCGATTTCGGCTTGCCATCATAAAAAAATCATCACATCATCGGCGAAAAAGAGGTGAGAGATTTTAGGGTGATAAGCTTTTGGGTGAAATCCAATCTTCCCCTCATTGTATCTAGGAGAGAGCAGGCAAGCGAACACCTCCACCTCCATTGCCATTATAAAGAGATAGGGGGACAAGGAGTCTCCTTGCCGCAATCCCCGAGTTCTCTTGAAATAGTCGTTTAACCCGCTATTTACTAAGCGAGAAGCTTGTAGTGGTAATACACTGAGATATCCAGTTGACATAAGTGGGAGGAAAATCAGCAGCCTGAAGGACTTCAGTGATGAATTCCCAGCTTACTGAATCAAAAGCTTTGCGGATATCAACTTTAATGAGGCCCATATGGGATGTGTTTTCTCATTAAATCCCTGAACCAGCTCTGTGGCCATAAGAACATTCTCCACCAGCAACTGTCCTTTCAAGAAAGCTGATTGAGAGTTAGAGATCATACCCTGCAAAACTAGCTGAAGGCGGCGAGCAAGAATCTGAGAGATCACTTTGTAAATCGTATTGCAGTAGGAGATAGGACGGTAGTCTCTGATATTATCAACACCAGGGTGCTTTGGGATCAAAGCAAGCATTGTTGAGTTGATCTGCGTGAGCAACTGACCACAGAAGAAGAATTCAAGCACAGCTGCAGTGAACTCAGACCCGACAATATCCCAAGCACTTCAGAAAAACTCAGGAGTGTATCCGTCAGGCCTGGGTGTTTTGTTCAGGGGAAGAAAGAACAGCTTCTTTTTTACATCTGAGGCAGAGACAGGGGCTGACAGGATAGCTTGCAACTCATGATCACAACAAAAAGGGGTCAAAGCTCTAATATGATCCCGACTTGTTTAAGCAAGCTGAGGCACAGTACTACCCAGGAGATTTGTGTAGAAGTCCATGCTGTCCTTTTAGATATCTTCTAACTTGTCTAACCGTAAACCAAAGTCATCGAACAAGTAGTGGATCTGGTTCATCGCGCGTCTGGCAGCCATGAAACGGTGGAAGAACTTTGTGTTTTTGTCCCCACAGTCCACCCAGGTGACTCTATATCTCTTTCTCATGAAGCACTCCTCTGAAAGAGCCAGTTCATACCACCTTTGATGGGCTTCTTTCTCCAAGATAGCTAGAGCTGGGGTTGAGGAGGAAAGAAGATTGTTTTGGCATATTATGAGTTTATCAAGAGCTTCTGCGACACGTTTCTCAAGATTTGAGTATTGATCCTTGTTGATATCCTTGATTATCCTCTTTAATTTCTTAAGCATTTTCACAAAAGAAAACATCCTTGTACCCTCAAACCGTATTGTTTTCCACGCAGCTGAAACTCTGGGAAGGAATTCTATATGATTTGCAATGAAATTGTAGAACCCGAAGGGTCTATTTATTGCCGTTAAAGGCCTCCCAAGATATATACAAGTAGGGATGTGGTCTGAGAATAGGGTTTCAGAGAAAATACCAACCGAAAAAGGGAACGAGGCCATCCAATTGTCATTGACCAAGATTCGATCCAATATCTTCACGATCGGGTTATGGTCCTGATTGTTCCACCAGGTGAATTGATTACCCATATATGAGAGATCAAATAACCCAGATGATCCCAGACAGCTTTGAAACTCTGTCATACCAGCTGTTATTCGAGTTATGCCCCTCGAGTCGTCTTCGGGATTCAGGGACTTGTTAAACTCGCCGAAGACAGTCCAAGGAATGGGAAGAACTCTAGGGTCTGCAGCTATTTGAGTGAGCTCATGCCAGAGGTCCCGTCTTTCTTCTTTGTGATTCAGAGCATACACAGTCGTAACTGCAATCTCGTGATTCAAGCCAGGAGCTTCACTATACAGGTGATAGCTTGCTTAGACTACTGTCACCGTGACATCCGCATCCCAGAGGACCCAAATCCTGCCAAGCTCCGAATTTTCATAATTGCTGACATAATACCAGCCCTGAAAAGAAGAATGGAGAATCTTTAGAGATTTCTGCTCTTTTACTCTAGTTTCGACAATACTACCAAAAGAGGCTTTTATACGCCTAAACCATTTTCTGAAACTGCTACCCCGAACTAAGTTATTAAAGCCGCGGACATTCCAACAAAAAGAGGTCAATATTCATCAAAAAAATTAGGCAATGGTGGGGCCTCTGCATCAGGACTTGGTTCCTGATTTGCGCAGTTTACTTTTCCTTTTGGAGACAACCTCAAGGAATTTTTCTTTATCCTCTGGGTTAGCTTCCTCTTTCGAGGAGTAACTAGGCTCCTCTGAGCTGGAGACATTGGAGCGGGACATTGCAAAAATCCACCCATACAGGAGCCAAGGTGAGGGATGAGATCTCGGGAGTTAAGCATAGTTCCCATTTACCCACGAACATCGACTGATTCTTAATATGCCACATACCATGTGCAAGCACTCGTTTCCTTGTAATCGGACATGGAATCCTGATAAGAAAGGATTGGTCTGAGAGCTTGGAAACAGTGATATCTCAGAGCCTGTTGCTCTAGATGCCGTTTGTGATAGCATGAAGTGCTCCTGAGGATGGGGCTTTCCCGTGAAATTAGGTAGGATAAAGCTCTCCCAACGATGTTGGTTTCTGGTAATAACTTCATTTGGGATCGTAACACAGGGATCTCCTAAGTCCAGGGTAAATACTTCTCCTTTCTTTTCCATCCTCTTGTTTGTAGGGCTGACAACCTCCTCCCAAGATGGCTTGCTGGAGTGCTCAGATTCGGTGGTGTTAGCCTTTAGATCTGAGGACTGAGTGTCGGCGGAGCAAAGGACAACTGTGTTACTGGAGTCAGAAGCAGCCAGAGAGTTATTCAGGCACGTATTAGTGGCCGAATGAACTGGAGAAGTTGCTGACTTGTCGGGAAGACCCTCTGTCATGAACATTGTTGGGGGATCTAGAGAAGAGACCTTCTTGGATGCATCCATCTTTGGGAGATAGCGAGATTGAGGGCGGTCTTTGGAGCCATGACGAGAACCGAGGATTGGGGGTTTCTTTTTCTTAGCCATTGGGGTTGCCGGCGACGGAGGCCAGGGACCAGCGCTGGTGGGAAAATAGGTTTTTAGAGAGTCGGGATACTCGCTCTTTTTAGGAGAAAAAAAACTGCTCTTCCAAAGCTTTAGTATTATCTGGTATGTTTTATGTATATAATACTTAATAGCTCATTCTCTTATAGGGATGAACAAAGGGTTAGAGATGAGTTGCAAATGCCAAACATTTCCTTAGAAATTAGGATTACTTCTGTTCCGTACAGTTTAGCAAATATAGTTTATGTCTACTGGACTTTATAGCGTTTCATTTCCTTGTTTTAACGTTTTATTTTACTATGTCATATGATGTTTTTTTAAGAAAAACTATGATGTAACTTGCCATATTTTTTGTTCGCTATTAGTGAGATATAATTTTACCTTTTCTTTATTTTAAACTGCTTATTTAATCATTAAACATATATTTTACAACTTTTCAAATAGTTTTTCCTATATGAATTTGTATAAATTTTCTTAAAATATTTTAAAAGTTTATAAAATTTAGAGATAAAACAAACTTACATGAAGAACGTTTTGTGTATTTGACATGTATATGACAAATTAAGGCAAATAACATTTTGTTTTGATCTACAGAGCAAGATGTACTCAGATCGAAACTGTAGTTCTTTCTTCTTTCTCACGATATCAACCAAAATGTAGTACATGAATAAAGGTTAATATCGTTATGGTTTCCATCGATTGTATACCAAAGAAAGCTCCTAACAGAGAAGGAAGTTTGTAGCAATTGCAAGAAAACACAGGTGGGTTAGATCGGATCGTAAAGTAACCAGTTCCAGCCAAAGCTCCCAGACAACAAAACCAGACAAGTCTAGCAACTACGAATATGGCTTCACAATATCGCCATTCCTCCAATTCTCCAAATCATATCAGCGTTTCTTTCATCTATTGAATCATAGTCACTGGTCGAGATTTAGGCGGTTGGCAACTTTTTCGATCAGATCTCTGATACCTTTAAACATAATATATTTGCTTTCAAAAACTTAATACACTTTCAAATATTCATTCATAAGTATACAATAACTTGATTAAAAAAATACTCATTCTTTTGATAATTAAATAAAATTTGGTGCACTCTCTCTTTGTCAAAGTATAAAAAATTATTTAATTTCAATATATAGAAAACATAATTTTCTGGATTTTTTACTTTTTTCTCATATCTTTGCTTTAAACATGTAAACATTAACATTATCGTATCTAAACATTAGTCACACTTATATGTATATCTCAAACCTTCAAAGTTCACACTATATTTAGATATAGTTTTATTAATAAGCCATATGACAGATATGATACAGGAGTAACACCCAAATACAAAGGTCCAAAACATTAAAGTATTAAACGCAAACCTAAATACAACTTAAACTACATTTGATGTTACTGTAATTGGATATCTCATCTGGCCGAAAACATTAAAGTATTAAATGCAAGCCTAAATACAACTTAAACTACATTTGGTGTTACTGTAATTGGATATCTCATCCGTCTTTAGCATCATGGACAAAGCTTTACTACTTTAAAGCTTCAACTTTCAGAAAATACATCATCACAATGCGATTATAGATATTTTTCAAACTCTTTTGAGAACCACCATGCATATCTCCTGAACAGATCCACGGTTAAAAATCGTTTTTCCCCACAAAGTTGCCACAAAGTTAAAATCTTATAAGTGAAATCGTGAGTTTGATGAGATAACAATATTAATTGATTCATTAGAATTTTAGGTTTGTTTGCCAATAAATGTTATCAATTAGTTAGGTTAATTAGATAATTTCTAGAATAATTGAAGAAGATGGACGAAGAAGATGATGATAGGAAAAAGGAGAAAGAAGATGTCGATAATATACAATGAGCTTCAGTTTGTTCTTTTTAAAAAATTTAAAAAAATTAAAAATTATAAAACAACACGTAGTACATTAGTAAAAATGGTGTGTTTTAATTTTTTGTCATCTATATAATGAGGTTAATTTTGCAGTTATCCCAAAATAATAATATTGGGCTTCAATTTCTATTTACTGTCCATATTGGGTCTTAGTAATGAAAAATTTTGATGATAAAAGGAATAAAATTTGCTTATGTGTTAAAATATTGAGATGAAGTGTATTAATGAAATGTTTTAATTGATTCAGTATTTTGCTGATGTGTCAGATTCTAATAACACAAAAAAGCTGAATTGTCAACAGATGGAGAGATTTATGAGTTATTGTTGTGTTGATTATTATAAAAATGTTTGATAATAAAATATTATTGTTTTTTTAGTACATACATAAAAATGATTGAAAAAATCAAACGTTAAATTGATAAAGTAGCATTATGAATTTCAAAAAAAAAAAACAAGTTATCATTTCAAAAAGGAAAACAAATGTATAAAATCATAATAGGTAAAAATCGTGGCAAAATATATTTTTAAATTTAGATCAGAAATTTGCTTTGTTATTTTTCAAAATACATCTCAATTATTATTTTTCAATACAATTACTTTACATTTTGTTTTACTATAGTTTCTGAATTTAAGTTTTTTAGCAAAATAAACGAAGAAACAAAGTTTCTGAATATAGATAAAATAGACGAAAAAAAAATTAAAAAATTTAGACAAACAAACGCAACTAGTAGTTGTGTTGTCACTGGCGAGAAGTACAAGGACTCCTGAAGTCCCAAACGTTAATCAGTACTGGGTGTTAAAGGAGAACCGTCAGATCTATAATATTAAATCAAATGGGTCCCATTATCAATCATCGAACGGCTAAGATTAACCTAATTTTCTCATCTCATTTCGCATATTATAAATACAAAAATCCCTAAAAAAGGGCGCAAACGAAAACCTACTCAGCCTCTCTGTCTCTCAGGTACTCTTTCTTCTTCCTTTACTCTCTCCAGTAATCTGCAAAAAAAAAAACCCTAAAAAATCGACACTTTTGTTCACTAATTTAGAGATTCCCCAAATTAATGGTTTTAATTTCTCTCCTTTTTTAACTTCTTTGTTATTCGTAATTAATTTTGGGTTATTCTGCCTTTTTCGATTCTTGTTTTTGTTGCTTAGATCTCGCTAAATCCAATGGATCAAGAACAAGATCCATGTGAAGTAGTTAAAGAAGCTTCTTTAGAGCCGAAAACTCAAATCGCTAATCTCCCCGATTCGATTTCGTCTTCTGATTCCGACTCTTCTCTATCGGAAGAAGATATGATAATCATCGCACAGAGAGACAGAGGAACCTTCACGTTGTCTCCACTCTGTAACCAATACAGCGACAAGACGAGGATTGATTCGAATCTTTTCGATTGTGTTTTGGTATCTGATGAAGAAATCATCGAGTCTATCTATCAGAATCTGCTGAGAATCATCGTCTCGCTGCAATTACAAGGCAATAGTAATGTTTCTGCTGCTGAAATCTGGTGTTTTGATGGCTGCAAGACACCTCCTTCGCGGCACACAGACAGTAAGATGGTTCCTGATACTTGTCCTGGAGCTCCAATGAAGCTCACCAAGATATCGAGGAACATTGATTCTGGATTGAGAAGAAAACTCTTCTGATTCTTGAGATGTTAAAACTACTTTTCTGACATGGATTGTTGTTGTGACCATATTGTAGCTGTAAGAAGAGCTTTTAGGGATAATGATGATGATGATGATGATGATATAACTCTCCTGGCTTTTGATTTTAACTTGTTTTTGTCTTTTGATCTGTACAGTATTATGAGGATTTGCTAGCTTATAGCTAGTTGTTGTTGGAGACTTTCAGTTTCTGTTTTTAAGAAAGTACAATCCTTTCTTTGTTTCTGTAATTTGTGTTTATGTGTCCTGGAAGAATCTTGAATAAAGTTTTAATTTTTCCCCTATTCAATTCAAATTTATGCATATATATGGGTGACATCACGAAGATAATGTCTTTGTAGAGTATGTGGATTACATCACAAAGGTAATGTCTTTGGTATTATGTCAGAGAGCTTTATCTTTTATCTGCAGAGTGAAATACAATAGAATTGAGTTTGCAACTTTATTGAATGTTATATTCTCAATGTGAATCAGGTGTCAAAGGGTTTGTCAATCCCTCTCTTCACAATGCTTATATTTGCATCTGAGTGATGCTAAATCATAACAACACTTTAGAATAAACCCAATAGTAGAATCCAAGTTATATTATTGGGTCAACAAAAACCAAAAGTTTGGGAAAATGAATGATAAAATGTGCAAAGTCTATACAAAGAACTTCGGCAGTAGTAGTATCACCGAGAGATCTCTTATCAATCTGAGTTTGCATAAAGCCCCCTAACCAATAATCTAATAGTGTCTATGACACTTTCAATACGTTTCAAAAGAATACTTTATCTGAACTTGAATGGGACTATGGAATAACTGAAACTGATTTTAAAGCGTCTAGATGATTTAACCGGCAGGTTCCAAGAAGATATTCCGGGAGCTCCTCTTCGGTATTTGCCTGCAGAAAAACACAAACCGAAATGCCATTTCAAGATTCTTCCAGGCTTCTCACTAAGTAACCGGAAACACCGAAACGGGGTTAAAGAGTTCAAACCAGGAAACTACCTGAACCAAGAATGCCATTTCAATCACGAGTTTGTTGAGGTAACCAAGAACAAGACTCACAACTCCTCTTGCAACAGTTGATGACCCAATATCAACTCCCAGCTGAAATATAGCAGAGGAGGTATGTTTCTTATAACAATGATATCGATATAGTTTCCTATTAAGATCTAACATCAAATCCCTCTACTGTGTTACCTCAATATAGTTCTTTCCTCTGAAGTAATTGATCTCCAGGGCCTGCCCAACAAGGCAAGCTTTCTTTCCCACACTCTGCTTAACTATCCAAGAGCCCTAATACATTCGCAAAACCCAAGTCCGGTATGAATAAACTGGAGAGGAAAGAATCAAAAGATCTAAAAAAAAAGAGGCAAGTAGTCTTTTAAGCCAACCTTAGATATGTAAGGAATGAGCTTGAACCGTGAATTCCTATAAGCGTCATCGCCATTAACAAAGTTAAGTAGCAGAGGATGCTCTTCAATGGGTGTGCTCATCATGTAATATAGCACAAGGCTGTACGTTGTTGATCCTGGAACCTATTGTTTCATTCAAAATTGATTCTTTTACAGACAAATGTAAAGGCTGAAGTAAAAACAGATATTGCAGGAGTCTTTTCTTACTTGTATATTCACGATGAAAAAGAACTCTGTTCCACCTTTTTCTGCATATTTCTGCATTTAAAAAAGCTTGTTAGCTTCTAATAATAAGTAAAAAGAGAAAAATATACATCAGAAGTTCAGATTCAGAACAAACAATCATAATTAGAACCTGAACTATGCCTCCAGGACGAGATCCCAAATCATCCTCCCGCTTGTCAGATTTTAGCCAGTCTGCAGCAACCATTTGCATCAGTGTACCCTTTCCCTTCACCTAGATCCACCAGAAGAGAATGCTTACCAAATGAAGTACATTGAATAGAATGATATATGCAAAGCATCTAAGACAACAAAAGTTACTTGTTTTTATTTACCTTCTTCTGGTCTGAGAGATAAGTCTTTCCTCGGATGAGAAAAGTAGAGGGATCGGTTATTGTCCAACTACAAGGCAAAGCACAAGTAGGATCAGTAGGAAGCGTGGTTCCATAGCAGCAAGGTGTGCTACTCTCTTCCCTCGCCTTCTCATGCAGGTCAACATAACCCCTCTTTTGAACTGCTTGAAGGAAACAAAAATTATAACCATTAAAAAGCAGATCAGACTTGAGAAGGAGAAAACAAAACGACAAGACACGACTAAGAAGAGCAGGAGTTATCCATGAAACTAGAGCTCACCTGCAAGATCATGTAACTTTTTCACTAAACTCGTAGCGCTATTTAGTTTTGGCTGGCGGGATTCCTGCAACCGGCAAACAGAGAGTTCAGAATTGTTTTAACTTTCCAAGAAAATTTTAAAGTCATATCTGATGTTGTTTACTACCTGAGAGTATGTATCCGAATCGAAATCTGAGGTCCAGCTTTCATCCAAATGGTCATTATCTGATGGTTCTGGGACGTCGAAAAACTCATCCACTGCATCATTCAAGTCCACAAGGCTAGACCGCTCCGAGGGAAATTTGTCTCTCTCTTCATTAGCAGTGTCCCTAAACATTTCGTTTTCTCTCAGAGAAGAAGAATCACCAAACACACCATCTTCGTTCTGACTCAACCTTGCGCTTCTTGACAAGTCCCCTGATGACAGAGTGGACGGAAAGCTTCCATGTTTTGTCCTAAACAGCTCTCTCAGGGCTAATTCAACCAATAAGGATGTTATGATAAGAAAGAAGAGTACTAAAAATAAAACAGTTTTTCTTTTAAGACAATTTGTAACTACCAGAAATTCTTCCAAGCATTTTCACAGTAATAGATCTAGCTTGAGATGGTTTCACATAAGATCTCCAGGACTTCCAATCAACAGCAAGCATGTGCTTCACAACTGATTGTTTCCCGTTTTCAATGGGAGAAATCACATAACCGCCACCTACGATACAACGGGGAAATGTCAATCTACTCTGGTTTTCAGTTCAAAATTGCAGTTGGAAACGGAAAGAACAGTGATCAATATGCATTGGCCCTAAATTACAACATATATTCTTTTGAGACACTGAAACAATAGCAGGCTTTCCAAGATAAAGAGAAGTTTTTAAAACTTTGTGTCTTCTCTTAAAAAAACACTCTAACTAATCATAAAAGAGTAGAGATGAGTAAGTGATACGAGCCTGCAACTTTGATTTTGATCTCGTAACCAGAGCCGTGTTCAGAAAAAGATTTAACTAAGCTTCCTTTAAACCCTAGCCACTCTAAGTGAATGTTTATAATGCAAAAAGGTTCCACGCTTAAACAAATTGTAAAAAGGAATTCACCAATCCCAGGAAACCGAGGGAATCCGCTATTTAGTAGTTGCAACAATGAGCATGTAAGAAAATGCAATGAACTAACTTTCATTTTAATAAACTAGGCGTACATTACTTTTAAGGCACGCACGGATATAGCCTTTCTGAGGTGGACACTTCTTGTGAAAGACAGAATGATAGAGAATAACTGCGACAGAATGAACAAAAGAGGATAAACAGTTAGTTATATAGCATATCTAGCAGAAATCAAATCAACGGTTATTTGTAATTCAGCGTTACAAACCATATGTTCCATCATCTTCCCTTCTCCAGTAACGCCGCAGCGAAAAATCTCTTCTCTTCATCCCCCTGTTACTACAACATGTCAGTAATAAGAAAAACAAAAGATGCAAACTCTGAAGTAAAAAGTTGAGTAGCTGACCAAGGCAACCAGTCGCTATACAACTGTTTGTGAATTATATCAGTGTGGCCATCAAGATGTTCGACCACACTGCCTTGGTAAAAACAGAAATCCCATCTGCAAAAGTTCCGAGATTTTACTTTAGATGTTCTATAAACTTTCATATCTTACAGCTTGCTTGTTTGGAGAGTGGAAGTAGTACTTACTCTGATCTTGAAGGTCCAAGGGAAAGAAGCGTTTGAAAAATGTTTTCTGAGGTTCCATCAACAACTCCAACAGCCATGATAGCCGGATGATCATCCCACTGTGAAGTCAGGCAAAAGGAATGATCAAAAACCAAATGAGCATACCATTTCAACAGATTAAGAGTTAAGACTGAAGAAGTTACTGACCCTTCCAAGAGAATCTCTCTCTTTCGCCTCCTTAAAAAGCCGAAGACCTGAATGCAGCAAATGATTAATCTAATTGCATCCTTTAAAAGCCACACAAAGCAACAAAAAGCAAATGACAATTGAATATGCAACATACCATTTTGACAACCGAAGATTGTCCACGGAGAAGGCGCAACAACATCAGTCGTAACAGGATCCACTCGTGCAGACGACCGGAGTGTCCAGTCAATAGAATTTGCTTGACGGTCCCGAGCTGAGCTACTCAATCTGATTTTACAAAACATTTCTTTCCTTTAAGTACCTTAAGAACCATTAACGTATCATTACGGGTGCTAAGCAAACCGAGAAACTTTACAGTAACTACTATAAACCATTCCATTGACGACAGTAAAATTGTTAAAAACCAAGTACCTCAGTGAATCCCATCGGCTCCTCGAACAACTAAAAACATCTCCTGGAAAAGAGGAGCCCTGCATAAAACATATATATACAACTATAAGTCTCTATCTTCCAAGTAAAGAGCTTTTTAACTTGTTACTAAATGTCTTGTAATAGACCTTTAAAGCTTCCTCTTTAATCAAATTGATCCACCTAGCTGCATCCTCAGGACTACTTGCTCCTAACTTTATCATCAATTACAAAAACAGAAAGCTTTACATATAAGAAGAGATGTTCATCACATCAAACTTTTGTCCAACACACAAAAAAAGTAAATTACCTTACCTTGAGCTGATCATTGTGATTTGAAGTATTGTATAGTGTAAATATGAAGAACGCCTACAAGTTAATAAAGACAAACATATTATCATCACTCTACAACAAAGGTTTTGGAAATAGATCACATCCATTACAATTTCACAAATTTTCTTACTTTTCTATGAACATTTTCCCTTCCATTGTCGGTAACTCGGATACATGAATCTATCACCGCGCTTCTTCCCCCTTCCTGTAAATCCAAATCCAGATTCTTCTAGGTTAAGACCAAAAAAATGGAGGATATACACGAAACAATGCAGATGAAATCAAAAAAGGGACCTTGGATTTAGAATCTGGGATGGACTTGAAACTCTTGAGAAGGTGATTTCTGAGGACAAAGTAACGTTTCCTAGAGAAATGCAATCCGAATCTAGTGGATCGAATTATGTACAACCAACCTTCCATCTTCGTCTCAGTCTCGTTTTCAGACCTTAAAACCATTTGTGACTCTGAA